ACTACTTTCAGATGTCCTTTTAATTATATTAAATGAAAGTTTGGGTTGGCTTTGATGCTTATGGGCAAACATGGAAATCTCTTGAAAGAGCTGCTAAAAGTACTCCCTGTTGCTCTAGTTAATATACTACGTTGTATGCACACTGCTAGCCAATTTATTCTAGCCACTTTAACAAGGATATCCAGCCTGACAGGCCACAAGAATAGTAGCACAAGTCAAGCAAAGCACAAATCATTAGAGGACTACGAAAGTTGTTTGACATGCACCACAGAGCTCTTTGTCACACAGCCAATTAAGTGACCAAACAAGGAACTTGAAAATACTCATTAATTTCTTCCTAGCAGTATAAATGGGGCTCAGAATCTTTCTTGTCTTATGCTCCAAAGGCACACAAGTGAAGCTGGCATAATTCAATTTGCACTTTGTCAAAGGTGCAAGTGGCAACTTTGCTTCACAGAAAGTCTGAATCAGTGACACACAAAAAAATGAAAGGAATGGGTGAAAATGTTTAGATTTTATGTATGATAATATAGATACCTGGGCTTTGGAATTTCTTTATATTAATGAAATGTTGATGGTAATTTTATCCTTGGAAAGCAGTATCAGCATTGCTGAATAGATCCAGTAGCACTTCTTATCATTTCCCCCTTCTTGAGATAAGAACTTCAGGTGAGTCCAGGACACCAGACTCTCTTGGTCCTAGTCCTCCTTTCCCCTCAAGGTTGATCTTTAGTCTCTATTGCTGCTTTTCTTCCTCTCCCTGACCTCTTAATAGTGCAGTGTCCAGGGGCACAGCCCTAGGTTCTTTTCTCTCCTTACCTTCATTCCCTTGATGAATTCATCTACTATCATGGCTGTCAGCTAAACAACTAGCAAATGATAATGTGTAGGCTGACATCTCAAATAAGGCTCAAGCTTGTGTATTCAGGAGCGTATTTATCATCTATCTTGCATATCTACCAGGAATCCCAAACTTAATAAGTCTCATAGTAAACAGCATGGCATTAATCCACAAGACAGAAAATTGCAAGTGCTGGCGAGGATGTGAAGATATTGGAACCCTTTATATTGTTGGTGGTAATAAAATAAGGTACAACCACTTTGGAAAACAGTTTAACAGTTCTTCCTTTTGACATACAGTTACTACATCTTCTACTTAAGAGAATCATGTTTTAATCAAAGACTCCTTTGAAACTAAAAGGACCTCAAAGCAAATTGTGTTTGCATGTGAACTTGATATAACATTATGAAATAATTATCACACAAGAATTGAAACTTGGTTTCAAAAAAGTTAAAAAAAGTAACAATTGCTTTACTCTGCTCCAGCTCTGCATACAATAATAAAAAAATCATTACACGTATACCAAATGGTATGTCCTACCTCTTATTACCAAATAATGAAACTGCTATTTAGTTTCTAAGAGGTTAGGAGCATAAACTTCTTAAGACTTCTTAAGTCAGGGTAAGCCAGCTTTAAATTCAGGGCCCTTCAATTATTATTGTGTGAAGTTAGGACAGTCATTTAACCCTTCTTGGGTTGAATTCTTTAAATTAGAAACTGCAACAAATATACCATAGAGTTGCTATAAATATTAAATAAGAATTTAGGCTAATTGCTAAACATGGTGGACCATACCTATAATCCCAACACTCAGTGTTGAGTTGGAGGCCAGCCTGGGCTACACAGGCAAACCGTGTCTCAAAACCAACCAACCAAACAAACAAAATGTCCTATGCTTATTGTTCTGCACGATGATGGCTACATAATCAGTGCCTAATAAATGTAGTTACTCATGATAACAAGTCATTGGTATTTTTAATTACAGTGTTGAAGAAGTCAGGATATATATCAGGCAAGCAGCAGTAATGTCATCAGTGCTAATCATGTGACCTTGTGCCAGTCATTTCATCTCCTTCAGGTCTCAGTCAACTCATATTTATCTCTAATGTTCCTTCTGATAATATTACCAGGGAACCTTCTTTTGTTACTATGCACCTCATTCTTACTATCTTAAAGTATATTGAATACCAGGCCCCAAAAAAAGAGAGACAAAGGGAATAAAATAAAGAGATTTGCTGAATGGCCATAAAAAAAAAAAAAGGTCATTTCTTAAAGAAAGTCACAATGACTAAACTATCATCCTATGCCAAATTTAATGTCTAAGCCTTTCCGGGGTATCTCTTCCCTATTTCATAGTGTGCTATGAATATAGAAAGAGTAGAAAATATAAAACTGGTCTTTATTATTCAAACAGACAAATATTTAAAGTATATTTCACTGTGGAATTTTATAGAATAATAACCTACATGAAAATGATGAGAAGTGCTGTGTGTTATTGAGCTGAGCATCTCTGCTTCACCAACAATCTGTTTGTATTCAATCTTATCAGATATTTAGTCAATAGCTGAAACATTTACTCACAGTCAGTCAATTATAACACCAGGAAATCAGCCATTGAATAAACTTAGCTATTAATTTTCCATCAGAGATTCATGTCTGAATGACCATGCATTTCATGGATTTAAATACTGAAAGACTAATTATCCCAAAGGCCCCATTCAAAGGACAGCATAGATTGCAATGAAAAAATGTCCTAATATTGCTGCAAAATGATCTCCAGCTTTCAGGGATGAAGAATAATTTCCATACCTACTATACACACTAAGGATATAGTTTATATGCATAGATATATACATGCCTCCCAAAGCAATTTTTGTCTGAAATCTTAGACAAGTAAGCCCTAAGAGATTCTTGTACACAAATATTCATTATTTTATAAAGTAAAATGCAAATTAAGAGCTAATTCTCCTAATTGAGTCTCTTCAATCTTCAAATTATTTTTTAAATGTCTCCCTCTGAATGTCCTTTTTTTCTCATCCAAAAAGCTGTGAATTCAGAAGACTAACATACTGGGGTTTTTTTGGTTTTTTTTTGTTTTTCTTTCTTTTTTTCTATTCTCTCTGCATGTGTGTGTTTAATTGCTTGGTTTGTTTTAAAAAAAAAAAATCCTGAGAGAAAAAATGGTAAAAATTGATAAAGTTTAAGCTATACTTCCCAAAATGTGGCACTATGGCCTTTAAAAAACAGCAGAGGGAAAAAGGTTATTTTCACCTCCCTCCTGCCTTTCTCCCCTGAAGCAAATCATAAAGCTAAGAAAGAATTGTCTGACCTTCCCCTGAAGCAGGTCACAGAATCTTCATTACAGAAGTGCCCAACCTATATTCTAAGAAAGGAGCCAGAGATGGCAAGAAGAATCTGAGCAAACAGGCCTTGCTAAGCTCAGTTTATTACCATTATATAACACCCCTCCTTGACTGGTCTACTCTTCATCAAACCTGAGTACAAAAATGTACATAGGCTTCCCTGCTTCTTGGGGTCTTCATTTCTAAAGGTTTCTATATAACATACAAATTGTATTAAAAACATTTTTGTGCTTTTCTCTTGTTAATCTGCCTTTTGCTATGGGAGCCTCAACCATAAATCTTGTGATGGGTGAGGAAAAAACATCTTTCCTCTCTTATAGAATCAACACATGCTGAACAAGTTTAGCTGTCTATTTAATAACTACAGGGACCTCTGGTGTTGCTGAGGGACTGAGAAAACACCAAATTCAATCAAAGTGATTGCTATGTATTCCCAGAAGGAGAGTGTAACTGAAGAAAGCTAGACCTGTTCAACAGTACTTCAACCCAACTGAAGTGCTAATGTATAAAAATTCATTAATAAATATTGTCCACTAGATAGTAAAATCCTATGGCAGAGACTTACATGTTTTGTTCACCAATATTTTTAAGGATATAAGGGATTTCATGTACAGAATTAAAAAGTGGGGCATTTGGAAAAAAATGACTTTGTCAGTCAACACAAGCAAAAGACTTCAGGTAGCAAACACAGATCTCTGCATTCATTCAAATGTTTACTGTATTGAGCTTTTCACAACCTGACTAAATTTCCTGCAAGGTCATCAAATTCCTTTTGCTATATGATTTTATGCTAAGTGACTTCAAAATTATATATTCAATTTCTGTTTTATATTACCCAGATGGACTGTGGGTGGGAATATTCAGATCATAAATGAACAAATTGATATTTAGTACTTATATTAATCAAATCTCTTAAGAGTTTTGGTTAAACTAAATCAAAGCTGCTGTGTTATATTGGAATATAAATAAACTGATGAAGTTTAATTTTTATACTGTCAATCTTACAACCACTAACTTGATTGTTGAGGGCATGTCTTTATACATGCAGACTGGATTCCTCTTTTTAAAAAATGTTGTAATATGTGTACATATAACATAAAGTTATAGTAACACTGTTTCACTACTCTTTTCCCTTTGCCTTTAAGAAAAACAAAAAAGAAACAAACACAAAACCCACAAAGAAAAAAAAGCAAAACCAAAAAATACAGGGAGACAGGGAGCTTACTTTTGGGATTGTTTTCTTTCACACTAAACTCATAAACCTTAGATAGTTTAGTGCTTGGAAGCAAAGCAGATAAACTTAATTAAAAATTACTTTTACATTGGGATTAATATTTTTACAATGACAGAGTAACATAGTCACAAGCATTCCTTGAGCCAATAAACAGTTCCATTTTGGAACAGCAATATGATATAACAAGTATACTGGACTGTTGACTTTGATTGGATGTCATTTCTGAAAGACTTAATATTCAATGTATAAATGAAATGTTTGCATACTGTCCCCTATGGAAAAATTAGAGATTCATGTATTATACCCAACTCACCTTTTAGTGATGATCAAAATGTTCCCACTTCAAGTTGTACCTTCTCCTTAGTCTATTTGAGACAATTTGGCACTGCCAAATTTCTTTTTGGCACACATTCATCCTATGTCTACCTATTCCCGCCCTTCACACCCTCCCTGAATTTCTTTGGTTCAATACGGTATATTGTCATTTCTCTAAAAGATGTCCATACACACTATCACCATCAGAGACAATTCAACAACACATTTATAAAAACGCAGAAAGTACCTGGACATAGGCTCTGCAAGAGCGCTCTCTTTTCTGAAGCTGAATCCATTAAGACAGCAGATTAAACACGGAATAGAAAAAACAAGTTAGTGACAGAAGAAAACAAGAAAAATAAAAGAACACATCTACACAAAACACCTTTTTTTTTCTTTCACTAACTTCTAGAAGAAAAATGAAAGCTAAGCAGTTGCAAAATGTAGTCAGTGGCTTGAATATAGTAGCCAATACCCTTTCAGAACAACCCAAGTGAACACTGGATGGTAGAAAGCTGTTAATGATAGAAAGAAATCTTTGAATATATTTAGTAGAAATTAGTAAAAGTCAATAGACTTCATTCATTTGAAATGATGCATTTCACATTAATTCATGGGCCACAAATGAAAACATAAAAAAGTTAAGTAAATCATGCCAAGGTTGGGAACCCATTTTTTTTTTTAAAAGCAGATTACTTGTGGTTTTCATGAACACAATGTAGATGGTTAATATTCAGCATGTATTATGTGTTCATTGATACATACAAAAAATTATATTAATCAGGAAAATAGAAATGCCCATTCTTTATGACTATTTGATTCTTAGCAACAAATACCAAGACATAAATAACTTTGGACAAAAAGAATGTGATTAATCTCCTGACTTGTCACTTCTTGAAGAATTTCTCTTCACAGTTTTGATGAAAAAAAATACATTTTACAAAGTTGGTAGGGTAAGAAGCTTGTTTTTGTTTGTTTGCATACAGAATGATGTTTTTCTGGGCAAGAGGTTGACAGCAGCTCATATTCAGTCTAAAACATTTATTTTCTTGGTGCTAAAATGAATAATCAATAACAGTTCATTCATCTTGTCTAAATAAGTGACCTAAAATTTTATAAATTAGATTGTGGAATTGCCTCCTCTTCCCTACTGTTTTGTGTTCCTTCAATAGCCTTCACTGTTAAAATAGAAAATTACTGTGATGCTCTTTGTGTAGCTAATACTGTCCCCACTCTCATTCATGCTTTCTTCAATGAGCAGGGAATAGTTGCTCCTCTAAAGAACGGAGTGAGGAATGAGTGTAAGTAAATAGCCAGGGCTGTCATTTGGATCACTGACTCGAATCATGGTTTTGCAGGACTCTAAACCCTCCAGAATTTCAATGTGGAGTGCAATTGATTTGTACGCAGTTGACTTTGCAAATCTGATGGGTTATAACTGCTTCAGGGAAAGTGGAAACCACAGGAAATGAGAGCAAGGCAGCAAGCACATGAACAACCTTTGACCTCCGGGCTCCTTACCCCATCATGCAAATTAACATATGACAAACCACATTACATAAACAATTGAAAAGAGTCAAATGGGAAACAAAAGAGCGCATTAAAAAGCCTCATAAATGGAAATTTGCCCATTATGTAGTTATTTGATATTCAGAGTAGGCAAGCTGATTAGCTATAGCCAGTTAGAATGTGACATTAATTGCCAGCTCTACCTGATAGCCACAGACATCAACACCATTTTTAAATAAAGATACAAAGTACTGCTGTAACAAGTCATGTTATGGATATGAAACATTAATATAAATCACTACGTTTAGTACATTATGGTAACTATAGCTGGCAGCAATACTCATTAGTAGCCCGAAGTCAATCTGGGTAAATAACACATTAAAATCACAGCATGCCCAGATTACTGGGCAGCTGTGGATTATTCTATCGGAGACTTGGTTGCAATCTATCAGGACACAATTACAAAAAAATTCCCTTATGCTCAGCATGACAAAAAAAAGTTAATAATTTATATCTAATAAATAAAGATTAAAATTGTACCTGTTTTCCAAAGATGATATTGCAAGAAAAACTGTATCTGTTAGATAAGATATCTGGTTTTTCTATGTTGAACAAACCATTATTTAAAAAAAAAAATCCATTTTGATGAGTGAAACTTGTAGCCCATTAAAATACATAAGAACTAGATATACTAAAAGACAACTTAAAAAAGCTGGTTTTCAGTATAAAGGGGAAGGTCCTTTTAGTGAATTCAGTAAAGGAACATTAGAATTTCACTGTCAAATTCTTATTTTTTTAGATTAGAAAGACTATCATGACAGTCAAGGGCTTAAAGTATACTTTTGGTGAGTGGAAGTCTCTCCCACACGAACATTTGATGATTAAGAATTCTACTATATTTTCACTTTGAGATTAATGTACCGTGTGATATTTCTATAAAAATAAATTACATTCTTTATGAATATATGAAATATATTTTTGTGTTTACAACTTGTCTGATTAATTTTCTGTAAAATGCTTAATGCAGATGCAAACAAGAATTCATAAAGTATATTTTTCCTGAAATTCGAAATATAGATTATTTTTATTTGCAATTCAAACTTGCTGACTATACTTAAGCATTTTAATTTTTAATGGCAGTGATATAAAATCTAAGTAATTAAAAGTAAAATATTTTAAGAATTTTAATAATATTAATTAGGTCAGACAATCTCACTTTTAAAAACATCTGTAATGGGTTATTAAAAGTGTCTTGTTAATATATTCTGAATTTCTACTATTAATTATTACAATAGTATTATTGTCAACTGTTTTAATATAAATTTTTAAAGAAAAAAGAAATAAAAGAAATTGCATTCTTCTGCATCAATCTTTTCATAATTTAGCATGTGAAACAGAGTAGCTGCTATGGAAAATAGAATTGCAAATACAAAATATATGAAATGAGATTACCATATAGTTTCTTTAGATTACAAATCAAACAATGCCATTGTTATAAGGAAATAGTGAAGCCAATTGAATATCAGTATTAGTTCTCTTTAGAATCATCTAATTCTACAGAAGGAAGAAAACTTAAGCAGGGAAGTTGGGCTAATCTTCCTACACCTTTAACGATACATACACCTAAGGTCCTTACCTTGTTTAAACTCCGTGCAGCACTATCTTTTCCACCGGGTGTCAAGTTCCTCAGTTGTACATCCAAGAGGCCAACCAGCTGGTCCATGGCACGGACGGAATAGGTGATGTCCCCAGCATTCAAATGATTTCTGGTCTGTTCAGCCAGCTCTCTAGCAATGTTGGCAGCTGTTTCTCCAGATTTCAACTGTGATTTTAAACAGAACAAAATGAAAGATACCTACATTAATACTTTTATTAGTCTCCTTTGATAGTTATTTTTGCATGTAAGTCTGAATCACTGAAGAAAGTTATTAAACTCTGTCTTCACCAGAATGCACTCCCCAATTTTTCTTGCTAATTCATCCTTTCCTTCAAAATCTGACTTTACATTCATGTCTCAAGAAGCTTCTCCAGAAGAATCCTCCTTCTGAAATTTTTCTCACCTTAATTATCTATTTGGGTGGGTGAATGTAAGGTGTTTCCTATTATTTTTCTCTGTGAGTTCCTAAATTTGGACTTTGATGAGTGTGTATAGTGAATCCCTAACTACATTCTAAATTCTCAAAGGGAAGTACACACTTTTCTTTGTGCCTAGTCTAGCACTTACTGAACTAAGTGATTACTAAGTAAACTCTCACCAGTGAGCTAAATGAATACTATATATTCCCGAATACTAAGTGAATAGTCACCAGCTGGTAACACTGTGAAAATTTACCCTAAATAAAATCCCTGCTTTAAAAGTGATTTTGACCTTCCTACTAAATACATGACAAGTTTTGTTCCTAATACATTATGTAGTAAATTATTGCTTAGTTTCCCATATTTCCCTTTCTGGAAATGACACACTGATTTTCAAATACATTCTATAAGAATATATCAGATTTTGTCTTTAAAGTGACAAAGACTAATACTCCAGGACCATTAGAACACATTTGATAGCCTGAATTAATATGAAGTTAAGAATATATATTCATTCATAAGAAAGGCATGGGAAATACTTCAAAAAGGTAGATAAATATAATTTTCCAGGTTATAATCTTCTTTACCATTTTAAAGTTAATAAACTAAAACATACTTACATAATAATAAAGAAGTATGCAATGTTAAAATGACTCCATTAATTTGTACCTTTCAGAGATTTTTAATGGTTTCATATGTGACTTTCCAAATTATAACCTACCCCATCAGTACTTAAATATACACTAGTATCATTATTTAAGAATTTCTTATCTTTTCTATTTTCCTTTTGGGAGGCGGTCAAATATAGAACAAATACATAGTCATACCAAAGTATCTTCTCTTTGTAAACTGTTCCCCTAGTGAGAGTTTAGAAAGTCAGAATCATGAATAAAACTCTATCACTATCTATTCAGTGTTGCTTTGTGTTTGTAACAGGACTGAATGTTAAAAACAAACAAAAAAGACAAATAAATAAATTGGAGTGGTTGAAATATCTAGATTATTCATATTCCCACATAGATAGAAAAATCATAAAGTTTACTAACATCAAGTGCTGAAAGGTTTGTGGAGACAAATATCATCCCTATTTGCTACTAGTGAGAGTATGGCTCATTTATAGGGCAAATTGCCAGTGTCTATTAAGTTTTGCCATGTGAACACTGTATAACTCAGAGATTTTTTCTTATTACTGTCAGCCATAAGAAATAAGCCCCAGATGTAACAAAAAGAAATATTCAAAGATGCCCATTCATGCTTGTTCATGATAGAAAACAAAATGTCTATACTTTACTGATCAGGTATATGTGGTCCATGTAATAGTTTAAAAGTATGAAGGAGATCAATATTGTTAGCATCACTCTTCAAGATGCTACCTATAAAATAAATAACATATATTTTCTGTATTTATACATACATATATGTATGTTTTTAAATAAATAGAACAAAGCCTGTAAAGTGAGAAACAAAAAAGAAATCCTTATTTGTAATGTTTACATTTCACAAGAATATATTAACATTAAGTAAGAATATATGAGAGGAATTATTATACAGCTAATCAGCACTTTATAGAAATCACTGAAACACACACACACACCAAAAACAAACAGACAAACAAAAAATACCTGCACTGAGTTAAAAGAATTTGTAAAATACTTTAGGGTCTTCAAACCTGAAATACTTGAAAAACAAATGGAGTTCAGGGTTCAGGGGATGAGCATGTAACAAATTCAATGTTCAGTAAAGAAGCATTCATGGCCCATTGACAGATCGTCAAAATTATTTTTTGGTGGTCATAAAGTGACATAATGTAATTATAAGCCATACACTTTAACTTTTACATACAATTTAGAACAACTTATCCAAATATAATAAATTAACAAATACTAAAATTCATAGGCTAGTGGTAAAGTTCAGTGGTAGAGATTGTGCCTAGCATATGTAACACCCTAGGTTTAATGTCCAAGAAAGGGAGGGAGGTAGGAAGAAAGAAGGAAGGAAGGAAAGAAAGAAAAGAAAAAAAGGGAAGGAAGAAGGAAGGAGGGAAGAAAGAGGAGGGAAAGGGAAGAAGAGGGGAAAGAATGGGAGGGAAGGAGAGAGGGAAAGAGAAATTTCAGTATTCATCTACTATGAATTACTATGAGATGCTAGTGCCTTCTAAGTGTTCAAATTCAGCACTGCAACAATAGCTGTTAAAACCTGATACAAATGGTTGATGACTTTGCGAAACTCACTGTGCACATGACTATATAGACAGTTGGAATGCCTATAATTTTTCAGATCAATTCACTATTGATAGTATTTTGTATTTATTGTAGTGCTTTACCTTTTCTACTGCTATAGTAATGAAAATACTTATAGAATTACTGCTAGTTTATTTTGTTTAACATTTTGTTAGTCATTTATGAAATCATTTTGTTATTATTATATTGTTTCCTTCTATTTCTCTGTTGCGCATAAAGAGTAGATTTACCCGCTGGGATCTTGGATTCACTTAAGTGTACCATGATGAAAAAATATTTTTTCATTAGTATGGTACTTATAAAACTAAAGATTCTTTTTAATCAACTTTCATTACATCTATCAATGATCATTATGAAACAAAATTATTTATTAAACAGAGAAAAATAAGAAATAATAGCATTGGCATTTTCATATTTCAGTTTCATTCTTCCCATTTTCTTTGTAGTTCTGTGAGTATAGACTTCAATATTCTTATTACATTGGGGTAGGAAATGATAAGGTAGGAAGTAAGAGTATGTCATTCCATTACATAAAAATTTAAATTCTTATATATAGTTAGGAAAATTGAATGCGTAGGTCATTAATAAATCAAAATATTACTGTTCCCACAGAAGGTAATAATGAGCAATCCAGCTATTTATCTGTATGTCAATAACAGATACTGCAATTTTGTAAAGCAGCTGCAAATGAACGATACTAGTTATATTAAAAATAGTAACTGCATTTTAACATTCAAGAAGTGTTTACTGGATGTGAGGGCGATCTGGCTGCGACATCTGTCACCCCATTGATCGCCAGGGTTGATTCGGCTGATCTGGCTGGCTAGGCGGGTGTCCCCTTCCTCCCTCACTGCTCCATGTGCGTCCCTCCCGAAGCTGCGCGCGGTAGAAGAGGACGACCATCCCCGATAGAGGAGGACCGTTCTTCAGTCAAGAGTATACGAGTAGCTGCGCTCCCCTGCTAGAACCTCCAAACAAGCTCTCAAGAAGTGTTTACTTATGAAGAAAAAACTTAATTAAAATTCCCATAAGAACTCTGAAATGCAATGTTCAACACCAATAAAGTTGTGAAGAAAAAAACTCCTTAAGTATAAGGAAATTATAAAATGTCTATAATAAAAATGTGAAAAATAAGTTTTTAAAGTAAAATAAAAATTGCTTTAACTAATTATTTTTCCTGACTCTACACTTTAAAGCTGAATAAATCATTACAAAACTTTTCATTCTTTCATAAATTATTTGAACACTTATTATTTCCAGAGGAAATAAACATGAATGTTACACAGCTCTGATCCTTAGGAAGCTCACATTTTGCCAGTTGGGATTGGGACAGGGTCATAAATGCAGATAACTCAAGAGAGGGATAAGAAAGTGTAATAGAGAGAGTGAATAAGATCAAAGTATGTTGTATGTATGTATGTATGTATAGAAATGTCATGAAGAAACCCCTTACTATGTATAATTTAATAAATGTCAGTAAAAATAACATACTTATAGAAATAGAAATGTGTATGAGGCATTATGGGAATACATTATGGGAAAAATAAACACTTAGAAAGGGGTCAGAGGGCAATAAAGAGTAACAACTAAGTGAACAAATTTACAAGATAAGTCTAGGGTGACAGGATAAGTTGGGATACTGGGAAGGGAAGTTAAGGAGAAAGGGCACTCCAAGCAAAGGTGATGATATATAAAAAATAAAGTCTAGAAAAGCTGTTATTTGGGAAGATATTGTACAATAAAGAAAAAAAAAACATTTTTCTACCTTCAGAATCCAATATTGATAGTGTTACTGAAGAAAAACCTTGACGAAACCCTGAATGTCTCATAGGTAGCTGGAATGGGATGAAAGGCTTTTCACCTCTGTTTTCATATTGTGCCCGTCTCCTTTGCTGCCTTAACCTTTGGGTCAGATTCTTCTCAGCTCTGCAGGCAGGCATGCAGATCACTGGAGAAATGTCTTACTGCCAAACTGTAACACAAGCTATCTTGACATAGACTAACCTAGTCTCCTGACCACCCTTCAAAGCTAAAGCCACCTATCAGCCACCATGACTGGAAACACCAGACCATGAAAGAAGTAAAAAGAGTTTCTGGAAGACCTCTGCCTAGTCGCAGAAAAGAAATGAATATTCCTCCCCTTTATTAGTCTGTATCTCCCTCATTATTCCTTTCCTGTTGCCCTCTGGATGTAAAACCACCCCCCAAAGACTCATGTATTAAAGGCTTGATTGCCAACTGATGGGGATGGGCTTTTGGGAAGTGGCTGGATCATGAGTGACCTCATCAGTTCATTAGCTCATTGATGAATTCATTCATTTGTTTTGTTTGGTCTTTGTTTTTGTCACAGTGATGAAAACTGACTAACACATCTCTCAACCTCAATACTCACTCATCTCTAGGACATTGGTTTTTTTTCATTGGATTTTTCAAAAATACCTGCACTATCAAGTTTTTTTTTTTAAAGAATATATATATATATATGAATGGCTTGTTTGTTTTACAG